CCTGCCTGCCCGGGCTCCTTAGGGCCCCAGCAGAAAGAAGTTGTTGGTGCCAAGGAGCCACCACGAGAAAGAGTTGCCGAAACAGCTGGCTCAGTTCAATTTGGATCTGACCGAGAAGGAGGCTCAGCGGAAGCACCTCACGGAGGATCTCGAGCATAGGCTTTCCAAGCAGAGGGAAGACCTGCGGGAGTGCAAGGCCAGGTGCCGGCGCCTGGAGGCTCAGCCATTATGCAGTCCCATTGGAATGAGGCCCTCCGGCTCTTCGCCACCAGCGATGCTTCCCTACAGCTTTTGCCCAAAGCCCCCCACCAGGAGGCCAAAGTAGACCCCAAGTCGGAATTTCTGCCCCCCTCCAATCCACATAGAAAGACCCCGAAGGGGGGAGACTCTCTGCAAGCAACACAAGCGTTCATTGAATTGAATTGAAGTGAATTTATTAGATTTATAGGCCGCCCAATATCTGCACATATCTGGCCCAGGGTAGTTTGAGGACCCCCGATTTAGTGCAATGTAAAAAATGCAAATAATTTTTCTGTGGACCACCGGTTGGTGACCGCTGTCAGGAAGTTTCTTCTTAGTTCTACGGTTGCTTCTCTCCTTGTTTAGTTTCCATCCGTTGCTTCTTGTCCTGCCTTCAGGTGCTTTGGAGAAGAGGTTGATGCCCTCTTCTTTGTGGCAGCCCCTGAGATATTGGAAGACTGCTATCATGCCACCCCTAGTCCTTTTCATTAAAGTAGAGACAAACCCAATTCCTGCAACCGTTCTTTATAATTCCAGTAACCGTTCTCTATTCATCTAGTTGTTTTGGTGTGTAATGCCAGGGACGGCTTTCGCGGAAGACCGTTTTTCCATGGACTGGGAGCGGGTGGGATGGTTTTGTGTGCCACCTAGATCCCGTGCAGGTGCAGATAAAGCTTTGCTCATTCACCCACCGCTTGCCCAGCCCGGTTCCTAACAGGCCACGGCCCTGGGGAGTGGGGGACGACCCCTGCTATGAAATTTAAAATATAAAATTCAAGATTGAAATATGTACCAATGAAGCCGATCTCACCCAGAATGTCGTAACCTGAGTTCATGTCTAGAAGCATCCAGAGCAGGGGTGGGTTCCAGCCGGTACGCCCCGGTACGGGCGTATCGGTGGAAACTGGCAGCAGCGGCCCCCATACTGGCAACGGTGTTTCGTTGGTCCCACCCGCCCACGTTCCTTACCTGTTTTTAAGCCAACTGGGCCATTTGCGGATGCGCACGCAGCCTACGGTGCCGAGCAACTGGACGCCTGGCCCTGTCGCAGTGTACCAGTTGTGGCAGGAAACCCCCACCCCCACTGACCCAGAGACCCTATCCCCAGCTCAGGTGCGATTTCGTTACCTTCAGATCTGGTGAGTAAACCATGTCGTGGCTTGGTAGACTCAAAATCGCCATGAGGGTGCATGCACAAGCTATGTGCGTGCACGAAAGACTGAACTGGGAAAGATCTTGCCATTCGGTCCGGTGTACCTTTTTGCTCTCTGGCCGGTCTGCTGTCGGGAGCCTTGGGCTCACTTGCCAGAAACCCAGCGCCAGAACGCGTATGTGTTTGTGTGTGTGTGTGTGCTGAATTAGCAGTAATTTTAATGCGCTTCTCCGTTCTCCTCTGCTGTCTCTGGACTGCACAGATAAACAAGATTGCTCTGTGTCTGTGTCTGGGCTGCCATTAAATCTCTCTTATGAATGCAGATGAAATATATCGCGTAGCAGCTCGCCTACGGTTTAATCGCATTGCGCTGGAGGCTCGCGAGGTTCAGGTTTGGAAATAAGGGTGTAGCGCCCCCCCCCAAGACGAAGACGCCGCGAGCTTGTCAGCAAAAGAGGAACCTTTTGCAGGTTTTCTGTCGGCGCTTCTCATCCAGAACCCTTCAGTGTCAAAGAATTAACTCCCCGATTTCCTAAAATTTGAGTGCAGTCGCATCACATCTGGAAGACACCCGGGAGGGGGAGGGGACTGCCAGAAATAGGATGCTGAGGGCTGGACCCAAATGCCCCAAACAAAGAATAAAAGGTATACTTGTCCATACCATTTATTAATTTTAAAGACAATTTTAGTGTTAATATTTATTGTTTCAATGTTCTATCCTCTATCTCATTGCTTTGATTGGTTTGAAACTGCCGGGAGTAGCGGCCTATAGGTAGTTCTCGACTTACAACAGTTCATTTAGTGACGGTTCAAAGTTACAAAGCCACTGATGACCGTTTGTCACACTTGAACCGTTGCAGCGTACCCCAGGGCCACCTGATCGAAATTCGGACGCTTTGGCAACCGACTCGTATTTATGACGGTCGCAGTGGCCCGGGGCCACGCGATCCCCTTTTGCGACCTTCCTGACGAGCAAAGTCGATGGGGAAGCCAGATTGACTTCACAACCGAGTGACTAAACTTAACAACTACAGTGAATTCACTTAACAACAGAGGCAAGAAAGTACGTAAAATGGGGCAAAATTCACTTAACGAATTTTGTCCTGTCGCTATTAGTGTCTATTGGAGGTGGTGACCCTTTGAGAGCCGTATGCAACAAAATTTCATTTTAAAACATCCCGATTAGTGTGCATTCAAAGTGACAGTAATTCTATTCTTAACCAATCTCGCTGAGCAACCGAAATGTTGGGCTGAATTGCGGTCGTAAGTTGAGGACTGCCTATAAATATTGCTAGCTGGATGCCCGTGCTTTGCGATGAAACTGTGTGATCGGGCTATGCAGGAGAAATCTGGTTCACAATCCGTTGGCTCAATAGTGGTCGGTGATTGAAACGCATAAGGGAATATCGCTCCTACCGCCTTGAGTACGGAAACAGTTCCATAGGTGGCAGGCGTAGATAATTCGGTGAGTGTCAGCTTCTGCTTTGCTGCTGCTTCAGCTGCCATGAAACGGGAAGGGGGGGGGGCGTGTGTGTGGGAGGGTTTTAATTGATGTGCTGGAGGTCTGCTGAAGGAATGTTCTAGGATGTTCCAGTCGTTGGGGTTTACGCATGCGTACGTGTTTCCCGCCTGCATCAACGGCCTTCACATTCCATCTTGGCATTCCTGACTATTTAAGAATATGCCTCTTGTCTCTGCTGGCAGTAGCACC